TTCCTTCCTTCCTTCCTTCCTTCCTTCCTTCCTTCCTTCCTTCCAATTATAGTGCAGGGGCAGACTTGGAAACTATACTTCTTGTAGGTATACACCAGTCAAGGCAGCTAACAACAATTAAAACCAATCATATAATACAATAACATTCCAGAATGGGAATGACGTAATAAAAGCATACACAACAGATAACATATGTTTGCTTTAATTGACGGAAAAACTTCTGTAACATGTCCCACTCTCAGTAAAAAAGGGGGGATCAAAATAGCCATATATCATTTTTAGAACAATGAAATTGTTTAGTACAATATAACTATCCCTCTGGGGTTTTTTAAAGTCTCATTTAAGAACAGCTATCTTTCAAAAAGGCTCTTGAGGCTTTATAAGTTGTAACATTTCTGGCAGTTTTCCTAACAGTGCCAGTGTCCTAGTTATAGGCTTTTTAAAAAAAATATATCAGAAGGACGCTTCAAAGCTGAAACAATTGTGTTCAGGAAGGAAGGAAGGGGTGGTGAAAGGCAGGAGCCACTTATGCTGTTCCTTGCTTAGACTACCAAAGTCAGCAGGTTCTCCACAAGTACTGGGACATTAAGGAGCTCGCTTGTGACCAGGAGGAGGAGCTGATTGTTCAACATCCAGTGGAGGAAAGAGGGAAGGAGCCACACACCACAGCTCCAGTTCTTGCTGCCGCTGTCATTGTAATCTCAGGTGTTGTTGCCAGATCCATGTGGGAACAAGTTGACAGCTAGCACCTGAGGTTCTCAGGAGCAGAGAAACCTTGGCGGTGCTCTCTCTCTCTCTCAGCCACTGCAGATGCCCCAGTCCCAGAGAACAGGTGGGCAAGGAAGAACAGCTGCTTACAAAGACACGAATCTCTGCAGAGGACAAGGACTCTGAACCACACGGCTGAGACATCTGCGATGATGCCAGTTTTGTACCTTTAGGACCCATGTCTGGTAAGTAACACCCCAGGAGGTCTTGTACACAGTATGGGAAGAATTCTGCCTTTGAAGCAGGGAGGGGGGGTTGGAAGAAAAGAGTGCAGCTTACCTGCCTTCCTGTGGAACCCAGTATCTGCTGCCCTTCAAAGTACTGTATCTCTGGTTTGGGCAGAGAGGAGGAGGAGGAGGGAATACGTGAAATTTGTCCTTGGTAAAAGCCACTCCTTTCTCCTGATTTAACCTCTCTGCTCATGGGGAAGGCGCTGAGTAACAGCAATTTTCATCCCCTCATTCTTACCTCTTTAGAGACTCAAATGTTTTAAACCTGGAAGGTCATTAGTCTTTCAGCCAATGTAGGTTTTCTTTTTGAATGCTTAAGGGTGTGATCATAGGGGAAGATGGATCACACTCTGGACCACTTGTGGAGCCATCTGGTGTGATCTTTTCTCTGGCAATCACACAACATATGGGGAAATGGATCACAGTCTGGACCACTTGTGGAGCCATCTGTGATTTCTCTGGCAATCACACAACATATGGGGAAATGTGCTCCAGTCCAGCCCTAATCTTTCCCCAAGATGGACCTTTTTGGTCCACCTGTAGAGTTCCTACTTTTAGGAAGAGGGCTAGAGCAATTTCCCAGCAAACAGAAAGGTCACTTTAAAGGAGATTACAGTACTCCCATTAAAGTGATCTTACCAAGTGCAGTTAGGTGCCCATCTTTGCAGCCCTCCGATCTCACCCTTAGCCAGTGATTTGTAAGTTATAGCATATTACATTTACAGCATATTGCAATTTCACTCTTTTGATTTTGAAAACCCTCTGTTGGTTGTAAGGGGCTTTCAGAGCCCTCCTGGCAGATTATGTAAATCCAAATTATCTCTGTGTTGTTGGCTGTTCCGGTGGAAGGACAGACCAAACTCCAAGACCATTAATGCATATGAAGAAGCAGGTATTTGATCATTCACACCTTCTCTTCCTAACCTGACAAGCAGCACCGGCTAAATGTCTCTCTTACAAGCGACTAATGAAAAGAGAAGGATCTTGTGTCTGGGCATCACCCATTTGCATGTGGTCCTCCAGATGTCACATCAACATGTTTCAACCAGAGGGAATAGTAGTACTTTGTGAGTAAATTTTTTAAAAAGTGGGGGATTGAAGATCGAAGCCCTAGGGGTGCTGGCTAAATGCATTTGGGCTCCTGGGGATCCTCTTATAGCCCATTAGCTGCACCTCACCAATGTTTGCTCTACATAAAGCACAAACATTACTAGATATTTGAAAGGTCATAGGCCATAGACACACATCTATGTAAAATGTTGCATATGATGTATTTATCTGTATAGAACAGTGTTTCCAAAACTTTTTTGACTTGCAGCCGTCTTTTATAATAGCCAAGTAACCTGTGGCTCGTAAAATGTGCATATGATGTATTTATCTGTGTTTCCGAAACTTTTTTGACTTGCAACCCTCTTTTATAATAGCCAAGTAACCTGTGGCTCCACCACCATATTTGCATAAAAGCATTTTTATTGGAGTAAAGAAAACACATTAAAATAGAATATAATTTTAACCTAATATATTAACATTAATGCAATAATACATAATTATGGGGGAAAATGTAAATCTGCCTCTACCATATAAAATCTGTGAAGGAAAAAAAGTCAGTACACAATAAGAAAACCAAACAACCAAAGAAATCGCTCTCCCTGTCCCCTTCTGTCTCTTCTTTCTTCCGGGAGGAAGCTTTCAATTTTAAAACATTTTTCTAAAAGGCACAGAGCATCAGTATTACCCTAACAGGCTTAAACCCCCCCCCCCACAAAAAACCAAACAAAAGCCCCTTTGCTTCTTTTCCATGCTCCTTCATAGAGGAGCAGAGGATATTTTTAATTTCCCAATAAATATTGTGAAATGGCTAACTTGTCTTCTTAAAGGTGTGGGCAAGAACATTCTGGGAACATGCTACTTCATACTGCCACTTACATCGTCTCATTGCCGGGAAAAGCAGCATACAAGCCCATCCCCACAGCAGACCAAACAGTGGGACAACTGCCCATGCAGCCACACCCTTATTTTTCATTCTGGGCCTGTTTGCTGTCTCCGTCTCCACTTTAAGCTCCCTCCTCTTGATACTGAAAACCTCCTCCTGCTATGTTGCTGAATCACTGTTGGGCCTCCTTTTTAGCGGATCTCTCTGGAATAATTTTATCATCTTCTCCATAATCCAAGAGTCAGCCAGAGAACTTGTTACCTTGCCTTTCCTCCCTAAATTCTTGATTTTGGTCTAAGTCTGTCTTCTCTGGAGATCGCTCCCCAGTATTTCCCTTTCTTTCCATTGCTCTGGCTGTAGTCACAATCCTTCCCAGCTTTGCTTTGAGACCGTTGAACGAGATCAAGGACAGGTGCCCCTAAATCTCATTTCAAATGATTTCTGTTTTGGCTGCTCTGCCAGTACAGAGGTCAAGAGCAATGGGTTACAGGAGAGTGATCAAACCTTAGCCAAGAGTGTGTCTAGGGGAGGGAGAAGGAGATGCTGTGAAGACTCCTAATGTGGGTGCATGGAATTTTGTAGTCAAATATAACAGGAAAACGACTTACTGTAAATCTGAAGAAGGAGATGAAAGGAGAAGAAAGGAAAAAAGCCTTAATGCTAGGTACGGAGATCTATACCCAAAAGCAGGTATGAGGAGAAGACGACAGCTCTTCCTAAAAGGAGGAGCAATAAAATTTTGGAAGACCCACCAGGCTACATTGAAGAAAAAGGAGGGAGTTGGGGAAGGTTTGGGCATATGACTGGTCGCAAAGGTGGAGTCTGCTGTCTTTAGAATATTCAAGCACCATAATGGACTTGTTTGGCACTGAAGTGGAACATAAACCCTCTCAGACAGCAGTTTTTATGCTATTTTCGTTCTGCTTGGCTACATGGATTTCATCATCTTTTAATTAGTTGTTTACCTAGAATTTTTGTCTCCTAATCTAATTTCCAATTAGATATTCCACTCTCTAACACCCCCGGAATCACTATCCTGAAGAAGGAAGCCCACCTATCTTAATTTCATTAATAGGTTTGTAATTTCCTCTGTAGGCAATTAATTACCAATGAGATGTGTCACGGTAACCTGGTCTACGTGACCTCTCCATCTCAGACGTATGGCTTCTTTCTCTATTGGAGTGCACATTTTATAGGCTGGCTTTCTACGGTTCACCCAGCACCATATCGCTTCTGTTGAAGTTCTGAGAGGCAACAGTCTGGGGGGGGGGGAAGTCATTTTCTTTCTTGTTCATTCTCTCTCTCTCTCTCCCTTGCCTGCCATCTCCCCATCTTCCTTCCCTCCTTTCTGGCTGCCAGCAGTGCACTTTCCTCAGCTTATGGTCACCAAGCAATTAGACATACAAGCTCCAAAGCAGAGGCAGGTGAGCATACTAGACAGTTTTACAAAGAAGGGGAAAATATTTGTTTTCCTATTCAGTTATGCCTCCAACCTAGAACAGATCTATCAGAATCCCTACTATAGCCTCCTCAGTGGTAGAAGGGACTTACAGCTGAACAATGCCTCTGGCAGCAGTGTGGCTGAGCTGATCATGGCAACTTAAGTGGGAAAAGAAACTTACCTCTCAAACTGCCCCCTGTAGCGAAGGGGAAAATATATTTTTTCTGTTCAGTTATGCCTCCAGCCTAGAACAGATCTATCAGAATCCCTACTATAGCCTCTTCAGTGATAGAAGGGACTTACAGCTGAACAATGCCTCTGGCCGCAGTGTGGCTGAGCTGATGATGGCAACTTAGGTGGGAAAAGAAACTTACCTCTCAAACTGCCCCCTGTAGCAACCAACACCAATCATCACTGACAAGAAAGAGACTTTGCCCTCCTCCTCTCCTAAAGAGAGTTATGGGGGAGCCATTTTGTTTTTGTACAATCTACCTCATCATGCACCTTAAAGCCTGAGGTGTTCTTGTCCCCTGCTGAAAACACTGAACAATGTTCAGTGTCCCCCAATGTCTAATGTCCCCATTAGAAGTAACTAAGTCTTGCCTTATATACTGAAAGCATAAAATTGCCATCAACAAAAATAAGAGGCCCTTGGCCATCTCTGGGAGGCAACAGTGGTGAAGCACTCCTCAAACATACTCATATACCCTAAAGAAACTTGACAGCATACAACCACAACCACTGCCACTACATGTAGATTGAGATGACTGAACGGTAGACCTGGAATGTGAGCCTCTCCAATGTATCTGCATAATGTGCTGCCACCCCACTTGCATCCACATTTTACAGATGTGACCATCAAATGTGAAGAGTACATGCTCTTCCTTCAAAGAGGTAACTGGTGGAAACTAAAAGAAGGGTCTTGGCATTTAAGTATGATACCTCTAGCAACTCATAATGACAACACGGTAAGAAGAGATGGTCCCCCACCCACCCACAAAGCTAAAGTAGGAGTACTGTTTTACCAAGGGCAGGGTGTGTCCTTAGCAAATAGGGAATGCTGAGCCACATAGAAATACCCCTTTCTAGAGGTTTCATGGGAGGGAAGGCAACGCAGACAAATGATCCCCTTGTTTCAACAGCTTAACGGTTTCCAGTCTGTTTCTGGGCACAGCTGAGACTGCTGCTGATATCTTGGAACAGGATATTTGCTGGATGGTGCGAAATCTTTGCAGGAGGCCTTCCTTTTGGTCCCTTAAAGGCAAACTGGTATGAGTTGTTTTTAAGTCCCAGTTTTGGGTAGAAATCTAATTAAATCAAATAAAGTTTGATAAAAGTGAGCCCAACATGCAATGAAGAGATATGACTATGGAGCCAACAACTGATAGCAATTAAATTTCCGTGTTTTTCTTTTCTTTTCTTTTCAAACCCAACATGATAACTGATTGGAATGGAGGGTGGAAAATGCATCAGTAGGACCACCCCTCCACCACCACTGCAGATCTACTATTAAGTCTCTCCTGAAAGCAGTCACTCAGAACTATAACCAAAGTATGCTTAATAGCTGCAAAATGATCATATTTTATTTATTTAAGTCAATTAGCTTGCTAATGTTTCCTGATGATTTCCCCCCTAGTGGGTACTGTCTGGAAGTTGTTGTAGTTAGTTTTTTTTTTTAAATAGCCTATTAGAGAGTTAAAAAACAAACAAACCAGAAAGTGAGGCAATGTCTCCCAGCAGCGGTAGGCCTAAGATCAGAATTCAGCAAAGTGAGAAAAGATTGTCGTTTGAAGCTGGAAAATGGTTTGAAGCTGGTGAGCTTGGGCAGACAGGCAACCTTCCTCAGGTTACTGAGCACAGATACAGATTTTGAAAAATTAATTTTTTTCGCGGAGTAATGCTGCCTGAGATGATGATAACAACATGGATGGAGTTCTAAGGGTTGTGGCCCAGTGATAATTTCTAAGATGTCAATGTGAGCATCAAAGATAGTGGGCCTCAATAATTCACTCCCAGGGACGTGGTCCGGAGCTTTGGCAAGAGCAAAGGGAGTGACCGAGGTCTTGAGGAGAGAGGAGGAGGAAGCCCTGGGTGTCCCTTGTAGGCTTTTTTTTCTAGTATTCAACATTCCCCTGACCGGCCATCTGTTTGGCAAAACAGTTTATATCCCCCAAATCTTCAGGAGTGGTTTAAGGATCTAAATGTCATTTTCCCATATGTAAAAATGTTCACAGAAGTTTCGTTCATATATGTTTTGGTCCGTGTATGCTTTTGGGTGATCAGAACAAGCAGCTGCTGTGGCAGGAGGCGCAGTCGGAGGGATTCTTCTGTTGGTTCTCATTGGGATAGCAGTGTACCTCTGCTGGAAGAAAGCACACCGCAAGGCTTCTTATGAAGAACTCACTGGTCCAACTCTTCCAGTTTGGCAGGAGACAGATGTCGCCCAGTTGTCTTCAATTCCTCCTCAGAAGGCAAGGTAAATAGTGATCTCTGCGCTTGTCTGATGCACCAGTCACCTGACTCAGTGTTTCTCAGTCTGTGGCTCTCCAGAAGTTTTAAGAGGCCCACTCCCAGTATCTCTGACCATGAGCCACATAAGATGGAGCTGCTGGAGGTGAAGTCTAGAAAAATCTTAAGGACCAAGAATTAACAACTCGTGAGGCTACTATTAGCACAGAGCATGAAACATTAACAAAAAACTGCAGAACATCTTAGAAGCCATTTTGTTACAGCACTTACTTCTCCTGATTCACCTTTTATTAAATTAACCCATTCAAATGAGGCACTGTTACTGGATACAACTGTATGTCATAAAACTTGTGATCTCTACCCTGCCCCAAATATCCTCCTCTTCTTCCTCAGTAAATATGCTTTTTACATACCATCTTCAAGAGCATCATCTCTTCTAATTCCGTATTTGCATGTCCTGGATCATCCCCATCCCTGTAGAAATGAACAGGTTGCTTACCTGTGAACAGTGGTCAGTGCACAACCTGAGACCCAAAGATAGGTACTAAAATGGGACCGGAGGGCAGGTTGTGGGAATGTACATACCATCTTCAAGAGCATCATCTCTTCTAATTCCGTATTTGCATGTCCTGGATCATTCATCCCTGTGGAAATAAACAGGTTGCTTACCTGTAACAGTGGTCAGTGCACAGCCTGTGGCCCAAAGATAGGTACTACAATGGGACCGGAGGGCAGGTTGTGGGAATGCATAGATGATTACACAGAGAACCACAATTATGGGTAAGCAACCTAGTCTTCTTTTGAGATCTCTGTGCATCATACATATGGGTGGATAGATGCTAAAAGGTAGCAGATGTCAAGACTGCGGTAGTGCAGTGTTGTCTGATGCGAATGGAAGGAGGCATATTTGCCAGTATTTTACTAAAGATAATAGTATGAGCTATTCATACTGTTGTTGAGAAGGTGGATTGTTGTTGAGAAGAGATTAAATGGCCATTCTCAGCACCCTGGTATGAGATGAATAAGTATGGAGATTTATGGAGTGCTTCAGTCTGGTGGTGGTTGTTGTTAAGTTAAAACCCCAGGAATGTCACTACCTTTAGTAGAAAGGTCACTTCAGGAACAGCTTTCTGCTTCTGAAAAGCAGTGAAGGGGAGGGGAAGGATCTGTTCAGAGTGAACCTAATTCTCCCACATGACATGCTGATGTTATCAAAATTAGAAATGTCACTTTGCACATAATCAGTACAAGGATGGGGGTCACTGTTTGCTGAAAAGACATGATGAAATGGCCTTGAGGGCAATTGACAATATTCATGACTGGTTTGGTGGCAGGTACTGAGGAAAGACGTATAGAAATGTCACTTTGCACATAATCAGTATAAGGATGGGGTCATTGTTTGCTCAAAAGACATGATGAAATGGCCTTGAGGACAATTGACAATATTCATGACCGGTTTGGTGGCAGGTACTGAGGAAAGACGTTATGTTAAAGAACATTTCAGTTATAATCACAACCAGCTAAATGTCCTCTTGTGGTTACATGACTTTTTATTGTGTTTATGTCATGCTTTGTAGTCACATGGTATTTATTCCAGGACAGGCATCCCAATCTGTTTTTGGGTTACTCAGATTCAGTAAGTGCCTAGAGCGGAGACCATTTGACAGAAGTTAACTGGCGTAGTGACACAAACGCCTCAGAGAAATAAAAAGGATATAAAAACATTTATAAGGACATGCATGGTGACAGTAGTTCAAAAAAGTTGTGATAAGATCATTCACACATGTAGCAATGCAACTTTTGAAAAAAAATATCCACAACAAAAAAAGTGTAAAAAAAATATCCACAACAAAAAAAGTGTAAGCCTCTGGCTGAGTGAGAAATGATCCACAGTTAGCATGCTTGCCAGGTAGAAGATTCATTTATGGCAATGCATCATGCGACCGCAAATTTAAATTGGAAAATCAAAGGGGGAGAACTGGAAAACACTTCCTTGGTGTGGCCACGGCCATTCTAGATTTTCTTTAGAGACATTTTCCCTCATTTAATGGCTGAAGATTGACATAAATTCTCTCAGCAGAGAAGGTGTTCCATAAGGCTAATCCTGCAGTGGCCAAATATGTGGAGGGGGAAGGATTTCCACCATAATGTTCAGCTTGAACATTCCCCAACAGGCACATTACTCACCTGGGCAATGCACAGACACCACTGTGAAGAACTGAAAACATCTTGAGTTCTCCTTGTACTTTAAATGCTTTTTAGTGTCGTTTGTTTGTTACAGTCTCTGCATTTCCATCAAGTATCAAGTAGTAATAGAGTATTTTTGGAAAACAATAGGTGCATAACCCATGTAAAGCAAAATGCTTTTAAGTTCCATTTGTTCCAGTAGAAGGAATTTCACATATTCAGGCTTGCTCATTTCAGTCATAAGGATTTAGAAATGCTTGGCTTTGACTGGATTATGCCTCACATATACAATTAATGAGTGACACTTTTTGTTTTGTTTTGTTTTCTTATCCTGCTTCAATGGAATGTGTTGCTTGTTTCCGGGCAGATCAAGAAGCGTCCCTTTTGTTGTCCCGCCGAAATTTCACAGGCAAACTTGGGCCAATATAATAAATGGAGAACATATTCAGGAGGACAGTGACCCCTGTGTTACCCCTGCCTATGGGCCTCGATCCTCTTTCCATTCATTAGGTAGGTTGATGTTATGCAGGTGAGTAAAACTTGGGGAATTGAAGTACTGTATATAATAGATAGCCAATGGCTTGGATTCAGAATTAGTCATGTTTATAGTAGCTGACAAGAAAAACAGGGACATAAATTAGTGCAGCTATGCTAGGGATGGCTTAAGCTTGGACCAACTCAATTGACTGACAAATTGACTGTTCTCTCTCTCTCTCTCTCTCTCTCTCTCTCTTTCCATACACACACACACAGAGAGAGAGAGAGCAGAGAGAGAGAGAGAGAGAATGATCCCTGTATCCATGGGGGATAGGTTCCAAGCTCCTTTCCTGCAGATGCCTGAAACCACTGATAGTAGCAAATGTTGCAACAGTGAACACAAAAGCAACTGGTAACTGCTGCCAATTTGTGTTGAGAGCAAGGCAAGGAGTGGGGCGTTAAGGAGTCCTTGAGTCACTGGCAACCTGTTCTGTTGGAAGAAATGCTTTGACTCAGCTCTTGAAATGGCAACTGAAAGGATGAGCCACCACTCACTAGAATTAAGAGGCAGACATGGGAGATGATGAAGAAGCTGCCCTTTATTTCAGACTGCAGTCAAATGTGGTTAGGTGACACTACTGTAACGGAAACAGCGGATACTGGGGTCCTACTGTATATGACTAGCTATTTGTTCATCTGCAGAAATATTTGGAGATCAAAACCACAGCAGTGGGCAGTTTCTCAACTGGCACTATACACAAGGCAAAGAATTATCTATCTGTCTGTCTGTCTGTCTGTCTGTCTGTCTGTCTGTCTGTCTGTCTGTCTGTGATATAGTGCCTCAGCAATAGTCTGCCAGAGGCAAAAAATATATAATTTTATTTCCTCTGCCCTTCCACAGAGGAGCAGGAGAAGCATTCAATTTGCTGATATCCTGAAGTGGCTCTCTTATTAAGTCATTTTACAATACCAGAAAGTGAAAGTGGAAGGAACCAGACTAAATAGGGTCAATTGAGGTCAGCAGACCTCAAACAACCCTATTTAGACTGCACCAGCCCACTCCAAATGAGACAGTATAGACGTGCCCTTAGTAGTGTTAAGGGTGTATCTTCATTATGGTCTTGAAGGAGAGGCATGTGGTAATCAATTTATCATGTCACCTACTCTCCAGAGGTCTTCAGTTGGAATTGGTCTGCATGTTAGAGATTAGCTGTGGGTGTTTGAGCCCACAGCTGAACAATCCTCACAGCTAGATTTTTTTTTTTGCTTTTGTTTTAAGGAACCAGGCAGAAAATTTTAGTTCTGTTTCCGCTTGAATCAAAAGTCCTGTGCGGAATACGCAGCAAACGTGTTGTCAATTGACCTTAAATTCATTGGTCTGTTCATAAGGGTGATCATATAAGCATTTACCACATCCAACCGGCTCCAACCTTTGGTGTGCCTGATCTGGCAGTGGCTACAAAATTAGGCGTGCAGCTCATTATGCAGCTAATTTCATGAAGGAGAGCTGATGGAATGGGAGAAATTGCTGCACAATTGCCCTTGCATGTGGTTTTTCTCCAGTTAGACTGTGGGCATTTTTGCATAGTTTGCAGAGAGGAAAAGTCATACATGCACACGTAGTGTTTTCTGACTTCTAGCTTGACATAGTAGTTACTGGACTGTTCCTAGAAATCCTAACCAGAATAGCCAGTTGCAAGGGATTGTAGGAGCCATGGTCCAAGATCAAAAATGTTAATCCGATCTGGAGGACCAAAGACTCTCCATCTGTGGCTTAATTTATGAGCTCTCAACATGGATCAATTTTGCATCTGAGATGTGATGTGAAGTTAGACTGAAGTTCTGTCTTGAGTGTCTCAGCTATCACAGGCTGATACATACAAGTTCTTACTTGATTCTGTTGACATCGGATAATAATCTTCAACTGCATGTTCTGTACATTTTGTATATTTGGTTTCCCTAATTCAATGAATTTGGATGATTTCTTTTTCTCAATCAAGCTGGATCATACCTCATAGGAGCCATCAATCCAGATCTGTACAGATTTCCTGAAGACAAGAGCGAGACTGAGTTCCCTGAGGGCAACATTGGTCGGCTTTGGTTCTCTGTGCAGTACGAGCAAGAGTCAGAAAGGCTCCTGGTCTCCTTGATCAAAGCCCGAAAGCTGCAGCCTCCTTCTAGCTCCTGCAACCCCTTGGTGAAAATCTACCTGCTGCCTGATGAAAGGCGCTATTTGCAGTCCAAGATCAAGCGGAAAAATCTTAATCCTCAATTTGATGAGAATTTTGTTTTCCAGGTAAGGTTTCCAGTCACCAGAATGTTGTGTGGATTTGAATCTGTGGATAGGGCTGGCCCTGTCATTCAGCAGGGTGAGGGAGCTGCCGCACTTCGCAGTTGTTGGAAGGCAAGGAGCAGTGGTGAATTCCTGAAGGACAGAGCTTTGTGTGCTATATGGCCAGCGTTTTGGCCACTAAACTAGTCTGTTGCCCTCAGATACAGAGCAAAGATGTCCTGCAGTCAGTCTGGTTGACTTTTGTTGATATTTGGACAAGGAATGGACAGATAGGAGACCATCTCACCTCTTTCCTCAGGCAGCAAAATATCTAGGGCTGGCACTGAGTATAGCTGAGCATGTCTGAACATGTATAATGTATAATGATGGTTTTTATGTATGATGTATAATGATAGATCTTTATTTTTTAATGAAAAGTTTTCTGGGGAAGGGGCACTTAGCGGGAATGGAGAAACTGAGTATCTACTTTTGCAGTGTTCTGTTTGCTGCCACACAGATTTCCAGTAATGCGCTACATCAAAGGACACTGAAGTTCTGTGTCTACCACGTAGACAAACAGAAGAAGCATGTACTCCTAGGCCAAGTAACATTCCCTTTGAAAAATGAAATCTTAAGTGGTGATGGCAAAATTGTTGTTTGGAGAGATTTGGAAGCAGATAACCAGGAGGTAGGTAATAAATTGCAGATTATGTCTGTCTGACAAATGTCACTGTTGTGTGTTTTTTTAAATTCAAAGATATCCCATCTTGATAGTAGGTAGATGAGTTCTAGAGAACACAATACATTGTATAGACAGCCAGGCAAGTGTAGCCAAGAAAATTAAAACCGAAGCATTTTGTCATATGTTCTGTACAGTGGTGAACATAACGAAATTCATTTGGAAAAAGTAATTGGGATAATTGTGTTATAGGATTCTATTCTGTACACTTATTTTACTGGTCAGAATGTCTGTCTCTCTTGGTTAGAAAGCATCTTGGAGTCTGGGGGTTATATAGATCTTTCTGAAACTCACTGGGGGCTATACCTCCAAGCAACAGTTAGGATTCTTGTAGGTAATGATGTCTTGATGGCAGAGCTTCTTGCCTCTTCCTAAGTCATTCTTAGCTGCTGCTTTGAGCATTGTTGTGCATCATATTATCTGATGTGGAGGAAGAGAAAAAAGATGTAGTTGATAACTGCTTTGGAACGTCATAAACGATGCCTTATGCAATCCATTTCTTAAAGTGACTAAAGGAAAGGAAAGCTATTTTTCTCATAGTGAAGGATTTGGAGAAACAACACTCTCTGTCTCTCTCTTTTTAACACAATCAAACAACTTTCTCTCCTCCTAAAAGCTGCCTTCTGAACATGGTGATCTGCAGTTTTCTCTCAGCTACAACAGCTATCTGGGACGTCTCACAGTGGTGATGTTGAGAGCTAGGGGCTTGAAATTCCAGAAAGAAAAAAATGTGATTGGTAAGTATTGTAGGCTAGGCAACATATGGGTTATTTTTATATGCATTTTCAACAATGGTATGGAGTGAGCTTTTACCAATTAACTCTTATTTACCTTATCTAAAATGTTGGAAATTACTCATATTATACACAGTACAGTATAGTACTGAAATACTTTAGCCATCAGTGACTGTAATTCTGTTGTGCAATTCTGTGTCTGCAGCAGTGATGACATCACCAACAGCAGCAAGTCTTCACTGATTAAAGGATTCCTTTGGAAATTTTAGGGTGCATGTGACTTTGTTACATTGTGTATGAGTTGCATGCACTCCAAAGTAGCTTTTTAAAACAGTAGCAATTTGTCTTTAATCAGAAGTGATTTACCATTGATAACAACATCATCTCCATTATGTACATGCGGGTGTGCAACAGGATTTCAGCCAATGTTGAGAAAGGAAAGACTCTTTACTGAAGAATGGAAGGGAAGAAAACTGTTTAAAGCTACTACATAAGTAAACAGAGTAAGCAAGTCAACAAGAAGAAAGCACCTTGGACTTGCCAGTTTCTTCTAAATAGCTGTAATTCTCAGAAACCATACGTTTTGCAAAAGAAACAGGTCCTCCACCATAAAGGTGTACTCACAAATCTATGCACCATGTGCTCTCTAAGTTTTGCTCCAGGAATTCTTACATTTACTTCATAAAGAAAAATAAACTGGACTTTGAAGAAACCAAAATTAACAATTCCATTCAAGGCCCAGGGGTCCAGGTTGTTTTCTTTTAATTGCTTCCAACCTGTCTGGAATAGATGTCAATCTTGTTGTTCCATTCTAGGTGTTTTTGTTAGAGTGTCACTAATGAACCATAATCAGATCATCAAAACTAAAAGGACCAATACTGTCACAGGGTCTCCTGACCCATTGTTCAATGAAACTTTCAGCTTCAAGGCTGAGCAGCTGGACCTGGATACAACCAGCTTGAGCTTGTCAGTGCTCCAGGAAGCTGAAGGAGATGGTAAGTATATGCTAGCATTTTACAGTATAGTGGCCTAAAGTATTCTAACACCACATTTGACTTAAACACTGGCCACATAAATTATGCAGCAGCTGGGGCCATTTTTTTTGAAATTAAACATGTCTTGCTCCCATCCTTAGGTCCCTACAGGCCCTGTGTAGTCCCTTCCACTGTCAGTGAAGTCATCCCAGTGACAGTGATTTTCAGAAACTGAAGGGATTATTTGGGACCTTGGGATAGAGGAGGAAGTGTTTACTTTCAAAAAAAAATTGTCCTTGCTGATGACATAATTGGCCTTACTCTGCAGAACATACATGAAGAAGATTCAGACTACATCTTCTGGGATGAAGGCTAACTTCATGATTTTATACATGGTGTTTGCAGGATATGCACTTCTGGAGAGCATCACCATAGTTTCATTTTCCCCACAAATGTATCTTGAATGTATTTAAGGGGAGTGATTTGTACATTGCCAATATGTTCCCATTTTCTGGAATGGCACCACAAGATTCTGGAAAATGGTGGCATTAATGCCATCGCATATAAGGAATCATGAGATCACAGAAACATCATGCATTCCTGCTGAATTCCTTCATCCTTACAAAAATGTACTTTTTGCTGTCAACATGTGGGGAATATCCGGAACAGCCAACACCACTCCCTGTGCCACCATCACCACTTGCTTCAGTGCTTTTAACAGTATCCTGACATAGAATCAAGAATCCTGTTGGTTGTAAGCTGAGTGGAAAACTGCCTTGGCATAGTTCCATGCAATCTCTTGTTTTGGCTTTGTACACATGGAGATCACTAACTGGAACAAATAGGACGTCGGCAAGGAGTTACTGTGTACCTCCTTGCACAAATGATAAAAACTGCAGGTTACTCAAATGAGTCTGTTTCATGAGCCACTTGACAGGAGCAGAATCACAGCCAGAGAAATGAAGCCAGCAAAACTGCTCCTCACACACACTTTGCAAAAAGCTTCATGTTCTGTAAGTTGGCTTTTGAGGCACAAATCATGTGTACACCATGGGTCAGAAAAGAAGGTNTGGGTGGGTGGGGTGGAGGTTGCTAAGGTCCTTCCTCTTAGTGATGAAATACATATTTGTGATAGCATGATTTCCCACACAGTTATTTTAAGTGTGCATTGTTTTGCAGTCAGGCATCAGAAAGTAAATACAGACTTAAAATGAAACTGATAGCTGAGGCACAAATTCCCATCATGAGAGGACCATGGGTTAATTGTAGCTAATGTGCTTTGCTGTTTATGTCTATTTTGACTCTGAAACAGCCCCACCACTAGGTAGAAGAAGGGTGTCATGAAAGGGAAAGGCTCACATGTTCTGAAGTCATTTAATTTAATTTAATTTAATTATTATTGCAAATGAAGTTGGGGGAGAAGCACTTTTGGATTTTTCGTCTGAATTGCCAGAATATGCTGGTCACCATTTGGTTGTATGTACTTTGAGGGCTGCTTTTTGAAGCTTTCCTTCAGGAAGCGAGATATTTTGGCTCCTATAGAGGTTGTGAGCATCTCACCCCCAGCAGCAGTAACATGGCTTAATGTGTATTTTCCCCCAGCATTGCAGACTGGATTGCCACTTTAAGCCTCACTCATTCCAAAGATTACAGAAAGTAATAGGACTAATTGAAAAGCATTAATGGATATATATGTAGCATTAATTTGCATGCTTGACTACCTCTCTCCTTCAGCATTTTTAAACCTTTTGACATCTGATCCTCACATTTATTTCTGATGTGACAAAGCTATCACTCACTGCCATCATGTGCTATTAAATTTTATTTCACCTTATTGCAAAGAAGTTTAGTTTTCTGTTATGCTCTTAGAAAAATATAGGTCGGGGAGTTAATGAGTTGGAGCAGTTGTTAAGTTGCATTTGCATCATAGCTGTGATTCTGCTTCAGTCATATTTGAAACAGGAAGTGCCATGTAGAACAGGAGGGTGGTCATCAATTCCACTTGGCCCCCATGGGTCCACATGTCATATGATCTGTGGAGACTGAGACCTGGAATTCAGAAGTGGCGATCATGTTACAACTGTAACTTTACTTTATTTAGATTTATACCCCACCCCTCTAGACAAAGTCTACAAAGATCTCTACCATGCCTGAGAGCAGTGGACTAGTTTAAGGGATGCAAAAGAAACCAAGGAGGTCAGAATGGCAAGGAGCGAATTGCTGGTCCCACTTCAGATGGACACTTCACTTTGTCTAATGGTAGTTCCTTACTATGGAGGAGGGAGGGAAGATCAGTAAGAATATGATATAGGGATGGACTGTTAGGAAGGGGAAGAGGAAATGATCTGTATTGATTGGCTGATAGAGACATTGCCCATCTGCCCATCCAGTGACTTACCAACTATTATTCTAGGAAGGGGAAGAGGAAATGATTTGTATTGATTGGCTGATAGATATATTGCCCATCCAGTGACTTACCAACTATTATTTAGATGTACAATTGCCAGCTATGCTGCTGCTTATGATGATTGAAAATAAGTCATACACTCTTTTTCCTCTCTGATTTAGAAACTTATCTACTGGGTTGTGTAGTTGTTGGGCCCTACATGTACACCAGGGGCAAGGAACTGGAACACTGGAATGAAATGATCAGTAAACCCAAGGAGTTGGTGAAGAGTTGGCATGCACTCTCTCTTAGCAGCTGAAGTACCGAGTGCTTTTTTTCAAGTGGCTTTCTTCACATACGGGAGTGAAGACTATTCACACTGGTTATCTACACCACGGATCCCTGAGGTGTATCCTTTCCTTATATTCATCACCAATGTTCTGTGGCTTGATAGATGCAGACAACTGATATAATCCCAGAAAGCAATGGATCTCACTTTGATCTCTTCTGTGAGCAAGCCAGCTGAGGCCCTCCCTTTCAACTTAAAATTGTGTAAACTTTTAAAGCATTCTTAACGTTACAAGCGTGCTTAAATTAGTGGGAAAAGGTGTTGGCCATAGGTCATATATTGTAAACTTGAAATGTGATATGTTTTTAGAAAATTCAAGCGATCACCTGAACTGGAAGATTACTGGGCATTTGGCAGTAATCCAATGCTGAAATCAGTGTTCTTAAGTGCCTGTGCTGGAAAGTAACCTATGTGAGGGTTTTAGGTATGTCCAGATAATTCTTCCTCTGCTAACTAGAACCCTCTGCAAAGGATGGTCAACTTGTGGCTGTTCAGATGTAGCTGGATAACAGTTTCCATTGCCCTCTACCCATTGGTTATGTGAGCTAAAGCTGATGGAAATTCAGAAATATATGGCAGGTCATAAGTTCACCGTCCCTGCCTTCCACAAAGCATGTCATCTTTTCCCCATTGAAATAACTTGGTGACATTTCTGCTTAAACAATAGACAACTGAGCAAAACAAAATGAGTTGTATGTATTAAATATAGGTGTATGCTTAGCAATGAGCCTCACCTCTGCGCTATTAGGAGCACAGAGTCATCAAAACAGTTACTCAGAGGAGTTAATCTGTTAGGAAATGGTTTGAAAAATAACTGGCTGGTCCACTGCAGCTTGCTTTTGTTACATTCTGTAGAGCCAGTGTGGCACATCCTGGATAAAATGTCTGAGTAGGGCTCAGGAGGTAAAGGTTCCCCTTGACAGTTTGTCCAGTCGTGTCCGACTCTAGGCGGTGATGCTCATCTCTGTTTCCAACCCATAGAGCTAGCATTTGTCCGCAGACAATCCTCCATGATCACATGGCCAGTGTGACTAGACACAGAATGCCGTTTACCTTCCCACCAAGGTGGTACCTATTTTTCTGCTCACATTTTGCACGCTTTCGAACCGTTAGGTTTGCGGGAGCTGGGACAAGCGACGGGGGCTCACTCCGTCCCATGGATTCGATCTTACGATTGCAGGTTTTCTGACCTTGCAGCACAGAGGCTTCAGCGGCTTTACCCGCAGCACCAACACTTCCCTTTAGGACTCAGGAGACCTGGATTAAATATTCCTGGCAGGCCATCGGAGCTTCCTGGGAGTTGGTTATGGTGAAACCCCTCCTTAAATATCTCACGTATCTTGAAAACTCCCTTGTGGTTACCGTAAGTCAGAGGCAATTCAATGGCACAGAACATTCTTACTATTCATCTTGTGAAAGCCCCTCATGCTGGATCATAACAACAAAAGCCTGCAAGATTCATGTGGTTTATCCTGTTAGAACTGAGGGACTAACACAGTGGTTAATGAACTCATGATGTCTACAACTGCCTAGTTTAGAAAGCTTATTTTTTAGCTTCTAAAGATCAAGCTACAGGTCACCTATGAGAGACTTATATGGATTGTTTCTTCTTTCTGCTTTCTAAGAAGGATCATACTGGCCTAGTATTTGTATATTAACCTCTAGAGCTGGGAGGGGTGATCACAGCTTTACCTCTCCAGCAACACTTATTCACCAGTTGTGTTGGAAAACAAAATTTAGCAAGTTGGCTCTCAAAAGTGCATAGGTTCCAGTAAGGATGTTATGAAATGCAGTGGGTATAAAATTAAAGCCAGTTTCCAGTCCAATTCTGCCATGATATGGTTTAATAATCTCCATGTTATTGGGAGTCTTTTCATCCTGCCATAGGGATAATGGGGGTCACCTCAGTACAGGATGGCTAAAAGATCAGGCTTCTCCAGGAAGTGTATGCATGCAAGTGCAAAAACGTGCACAGCAAAATAAAAAATTGGAAGTTTTCTTCTCTATAATGCAACCTTTCCTGTAAAGATAAGCTGAGATAAACTGGGTCTGGCTCTTTGCTTTGTTTACAAATGGTGGACAGTTTATTTAAAAGAAACAGAAAAGGTCACAATTTCAGCAACTTGCTGGAAAGTTAAACATCGGAACTTTTGCAATCTTTAAATTACACCCCTGACACTATGTGGGAAAAAATATCAGGAAATCATTTTAGTTGAAAGAAAGCAGGCTTCCCTCTGAAACAGGATACAGTGTTAATTAACACAATGACTATAACGATAAGAGCTTCCTTGCAAAAGTACAGGATTTTATTCTTGGTTTCCTTTTTAGTACATAATCAGGATCAAAGTTGTTCCCATAAGAGAACTGAGTATTTCATTATATAGGAGCTCACGTTCCAGCTGAACCCATTGCAAAGCAGGATACATATATGTGAAGCACACTTCTATAACTGTTGCTGGACTGTAGTTCTCAGCATTCCCAACTACTGTGGGGCTGATACAGAACACATTTTTTTTGTGAATTGACATAACATTAATAAGAAGCAGCCAGGGAGAGGGATTTCTAATTCTCAGTCAAGGCATTTTAAAGACTCCGTTCCAGATACAAAATCCATACATGTTCAGAGTTTGAGTAGTGAGCATGACTAGTTAATTCTCCAACACCTGCCACCACACCACAACACAAAAAGTGGCTTTAAGTCTTATATTGCTTAATTTTCACGGTAGAGGTGGGGAATTAGCAGCTGTTGAACCAGAGCTCTCATCATCCTTGGCCATAGTGGTGGGGCTGATGGGACACTGGGGGGTCCAGTGATATCTGAAGGGCTACAGCACCACTACCCTGATTCTGTAGTGTAAACATGAAGTGGACATAACCCTAGGAACATATTCTTTGCCTGTTTTCTTTTTGACAGAGCAAAAGAACATTTTTGGCTATCACTTCAAACGAAGCTCTAGTTCTGTGTTTGAATCAGTTGTTCTTAGGCTGTAGACTAATGTACTTGCTAAAGTTAGTGCAGTGAAGTCTGGAAAATATGTATTTTCCTAGTGCGTTTCGAACTGGCAGTGTATTTCTCTTCTCCTACAAAGAATACTGTACATGTTATGTCATAAAATAAATAAACCAGTGTATTGTTCTCAAATAATTATGGTGTGTGAGTTAGTACCAGTTTATGGCCTGCTTTCTGTCTGCTCTTTCCCAAAGTAATGAGTTTTGTTTGGAAGTTTTGACATGTGCCAACCTCCCCCCCCCAAAAAAACCCCAGCAGTGATAAGAGAAGCCACACCCATCCTTTGTGCCTTACAAAATGCTTAATCCAAGACAGGTATGAGGAACCAAATGAATAAGTTAAACAGAAAAGCTCTTTGCAAACGCAAAAAGCCACTTAGCTGACGAAACCAGCAGGTCAGATACTTAAAGAGTAGCCAAGCAGTTGCTTTTTTGATTGAGGTGATAAGGCCTCTCTCAGAATCTTGCTCCACACAGTTTTTCCCCTTGAAGTTGCAAAATACCTCTTAGAGGAGTCCCAGACAGACCAATCCAGTATGTGAGACAAGCTTAGTTTATCCCATTCTGACTCCATGCCATTTTAACTGAAGGTACCTTCTACTGAATACTGAAGTTCTCAGCCTCTACAAGTCACCCACAGTTAACACATCAATGAAGGGTCCTCATTGGTGCAGCCAGGTAACTTTAGACTCTAGAGTTAATTATTTTAATGAAGGGAGCTTTATACACTAATGTGCATTATGTCAAATATGAGACACACACTTAACATTTCTCTTCTCACCACAAGTGTCTTGTTAGCTCAGTGAGTTAAAACTTCTAGCTGTGGAGCCAGGGCATAAAGTTCAATTCCCCACCGTACGTCCTGGGAAAAGAGCCAGGCTATGTGGTCCTGGGCAAGCTAAATAGTCCAGAGTACATCCAGAAGTGAATAGAAAACCACTTCTGAGTACTCTATACCCGGAAGACCTCAAGGAGGGTCATGATTAATCAGAATCAACCTGATGTCAGAGTTATTACTGCTGGAGGAAAAATAACAATGAGTTTGACAACTCGCATAATATACTTTTAAAATATATCATTTCAAATGAGTAACCTCATCTATTTATCACTATATCTTGTCTCCACCAGGGATGAGGAACTTGTGGTCTTAATGATGCTTTTGAACACTTTTCTCCATAGATTCTAGTCAGTCTGACCAACTGTGAGATATGATGGGAGTAATAGTTGATCAGCATCCAGAAGACTAAAGGTTTACTCTTGGATTAGGTATTTACTGTACAGGATTGAACTGCAATTAAGCATCACTCATGGTATAGTACCTCCAGGCTTCTGAACTATATCACAACTTTTACACTCTTGCCATGTTTGAATCCAAATACAGATTTGTATTTTTCAACTGCAACTCTCAGGATTTTGCAGATAGCATGGCCAGTGGCCATGCTGCTTGGAGAATTCTGGGAGTTGTGGTCCAAAGACAGAAATCTGCATGACTCTTATGTTGGCCATCATACAAGCAACGCCTGTATTAATTATGTACTTTCAAGTCATTACCTATTTATAGGGACTCTCCCAGAATTTTCAAAGTATAAAGTACTCAGAAGTGGTTCACTAGTCCCTCCTTCTCAGGACAATGATAAATAAGGTCCCATGGGAATAGACTGTAACAAGAAAAGGAGTCAGGTGGGAGTTTCTTTGAAAAAGGAAATTCTAAAGGCACAATTACAAATGATTTCAACAAGAAAAAAAGGTGGAAGACAGCAAAAAATGATCACTTTGGCTTCACAAAAAGCTCAGAGAGGACTTAAAATCAACAAAAAGGGGCATACTGTATATAGGAAGCAGAAGGAAAGCCAGGGCACAAAGTTAGAATACAGACAGATAACAAAGTATTGCAGGGATGGCATTAGGAAGGCAAAAACTGAGGTTAGCAAGAGATGCCAAAAGCAGCAACAACAAAAAAGCATTTTTCACATATTTATAACAAAAGACAGAGAAAAGAAATAGTTGCTCAGCTAATCATTGGTGATAGAAAAATGGTGACCCCCCCAAAAAAAAAGAAAAAAAGAAAAAGAAAGAAAAAAAGGCAGAAGTGCTCAATTCTTTAGCTCCAGTTTTCCTCAGTCTCCAGACAAATGTACAAGTGGAGGGGACCGGACTGCAGCCTGAGATTGATAAACAAATAATTGAGGAATACTGTACCTTAATACTTTTAATGAGTTCAGATCTCCAGGGCCCAATGAATTCCATCAAAAAGTATTGAAGAACTTACTGAAGAACTCTTAAGAACCACTGTCTTATTACTTTCTTGAAACCATGGAGGATGGGTACAATGCCAAATGACTGGAGGAGGGCTAACTTTGTCCCTATTTTGAGAAAGGGCAGAAGGGAGGAACCTGACTTCAATCCCAGGGAGAATTCTAGAGCAAAAAGCCTGCTGCATCAGAGACTGCTCCTAGTCAAAGAGAGCTTGGTTCTTGTAAGATGGAATCTGAAGCAACAGTTCATCAAGCAATGTTTGCTTCCTCCTTCCTTCACTTTTGTTTTTTTTTTCTGTGTGAGCTTGTGGGTAAGCACCATCTCATCTTTCCATATATGTAAAACTTTCAGAAAATCTAAGCACTTTATAAACATGCATCATCATCATCATCATGCAAATTATACTTATAAAGGAATGAGGTGTCAATTTCACATGCTATTTTAGCATTCCGGCAAGAGACAGATGAAGCAGACACACCATCTGTTTCTGTTGTTCCTTTTTTGTCTAGCTTTCCAGTCAGAAACTGGGTGATCTCAGGCCCCAGAGAATGACACTGCACCCATAAAAATAAAACTATGATGGTGTTTGTTCTGAACTAGATTTACAACAGAAACCAAAGATTAATGGTAGAGCACACACTTCATGAAAACAAGGTTCCAGACTAAGACACTATGTTTGCCACCACCTGCCCTTGATGCTTAGTACGGCTGACAGGATTTAGAGCCCAACGCCATCCGGAGAGTCAGAAAACACTGAACCTTTCATTTAGAAGGACCATGTAATAGGTGAGGTGAAAAGAGTCCTGCTTGAGACTCTGGACAGCTGCTGCTAAGCATGGTAAGCACTCTAAGCTAGATGCACTAGTTTGACTGGATATGAAAAAGCTTATTTATTCCTTAATTACTTACTTACATACATATATACACTTTAATCAGTCTGGCTTGGCTGTGACTACTTGTTAGTAGTAAGTTATTTCACACTTGCACAATGAAGTTTGTATTAGCCACATCTGATGCTACTGCCTATCCAGACTATCTGTACTATAGGTTTGATTGTCATGCTTTCCCCTAAAAGAACCCTGAGTATATCAATTTGGCAAGGGTGCTGAAAATTCTCTTTGAGATGCAGAACACAGACCTGTTCCTTTTTAAACTAGTTCCTTTTCTGGGAATAATATTGGGAAGGGAGTTCTTCCCCTTGTTTTGGATTGTGATTAATATTCATGTGTTTACCATGAAGATATAAAACTAGGCACCAGACACTGCTCATTTCCCATTTAATTTTTTTTGACATACCAGGACAGATCTTTCAAATTTGTAGTAAATCTCATCCGCCACCCTACAATTGAAATGACAGTCCTTAAGACCACTGAGTGTCAGCATAGTGCTAAAAGGCACTTCTGTGCAAATCCCACAGAAGTGAAGAGCAGTCCTAGTATCACATAATTACAGTTTCAACGTTTCTCTGAAGAGAGGAAATATATGTGCAAATTAATTTAAGGCTATAACTTAGAAATGCTTTCTGTCTACCGCATTCAAAGCACAAGTTTAGTAGATTTTTTGGAATCTGTTTTTCGTCAGACGTCTAAAACTTCAATTAAATAAATACTATTAAAATTCTCTCTTCCTTTGTTTGACTGTAGCTGCAGAAACAAATCAGTGTTTTGGAATGTTCCTGCAGTTTTGTTGTGACACTTAACTTCAGTCAGGAAATGGAAGATTTCTAGTAATGCCTAATAACATAATTGAAGTCACAGGCTGCAAATTTAAGATTAAAAACTCTACCAAAAAAAAGACCATAATCTGAGTATTTGCATTTCATAAGGTATTTGGGACTTCAGTATTTATTGTGAAAAATTGTGTCTTGATAATAGCACAATATAATTATATGAAGTCACAAATGAGTTTGGCATAGGAAGCTGCATCAAGGAAAGGTATGTTCTTAAGCAAGACATTAAAATGTTGGTTGCATATTTTCGGAATACTTCAACACCAATTTATTTTTTTAAAATTTCTGATATCTAGAAACTCACAAAGGAAGTAGCTGTCATAAAAAACTCATTTTTTAAACAGTAACTAGAAAATGTTCATTAGAAACCATTTTTATTAATAAATAATACATGCCATACCTATAAAAATAAAACAACAATTGCAAGATTTTATACAACTAATCTAAAATTAAAAAATCATATTTAAAGTCACTTGGCACATTGGGAAATCAGTGGTAGAAACAGCTATCAGAGACCCCTTCTTCAGAGATCAAGATGAAAATCCACCAGATGGAAATCCATGTCCAAAGGATAGCTGTTTTCATCTAATACAAAATGGCTTCTAACTGTCAAAAGATAAGATGCTTTTGTGTCTGTCAGCAGTGAATGGCATAGATCTGCTACAATCATGCCATATGTTGTATCTAAGGAAGGCTCTGCAAGAAGCAAAAGAAAATGACAGTTAATATTATAAGAATGTGTCTCCTTTGTACATTAAAGTAGGGAATATTCTGCTGATAATTTTTTTTTCTAAAAATACAGTTGGGTTTCCATATTGGCAGTTAGGGACTGGTTTTCATTGTGCTAAAGATCGAGTTTGGGGGCCAAACTGTTATTTAGCAAATGAAATGGTTATGTGATGAATGGGATGGGATGATAATGAATTCTTGAGTGGAGTAGGCCTTGCACTGAAGGTAAAACCAAACATTAGGCTCTTAATTTCATTTGCCTATTCAATTTACTTACACAAGTAATTCATAGTGCATTACCTATGGCCCTGTTCAGCCACTCTGCTGGAATATTGAGGAACATCTTCTCCATCAGTTCTGATACCACCTGAACACGCACTTCATATCCCTCATCTTCTACTGTCATCACTGAAGGTCTAAATGAGGAAACAAGATGAAAGTCATATGAGCAGAGTTTAATGCTTTAATTTTTCATATTAAACTTAAGAATAAAACAATTATCACCTTCAGTCACACCTTGTTAATCATCTTACAAGCTTTTTATTTTTGCACACTGCATTGATTTAATGAGTGTGGGAGGTACCTGATCTGAGTGTCAAAAATGCCAAAGTACTTCTGGGCAATGGAAGAAGGTTTATTATTGTATTTCCCACAGCTTTTGTTTCAGGGAGGGGAGAATCACAGAATACCTTACAAGATACTTTAAGAAGGCAAATATTTACTGTCATCCTACTTACAATGCACAGTTTATTTTTATATTCTACATACCGTATTTGCCAGCGTACAAAATGACTTTTTGGGCCCAAAAAACATGCCTCCAAGTGGGGGGGTCGTCTTGTACGCCAGGTGCACTTCATTTAGGCTCGCTTGCCCGCCACCCCCCATTTCCCCTCTTCTTCTTCCTCCTCCTCCTCCTGCCACGCCCCCTCAGCCTCTTGCCCTCTTCCTCGGCCAGAGACCAACGCCCCGTGCGCGCTGAGCCAGCGGTGTGCTCGCCCGCCCGCCACCCCCCGTTTC